CAAAAAGCCCCCCCAAATAAACAAACAAAAGAAACCAACAACAGCAGCAACAAAAAACAACAACACAAAACAAAAAACAAACAAAAACAATCCAAACTTTAGGATTAAAAAAAAAAAAAAACAAGAACAAAATGTAGAGAATGCGATTTTATTTGGTTGATTTAAACAAGACAGAAGCCAAAAAGGTATTTAGAACGTTTCTAAAGAATATCTTGCAAATGTGAATCTTTTAAGAACATGTCAATGGAATATCTCTCACTCTTTGATTGCTTAGTGCGTGCGTGGTGAACTGAAGTTTGTGCTTTTTAGAAGGAGATGGGCTTTATATATTCGTGGAAAAATAATATTTCGTGCACTGGAAACATCTAGTGTTCTTTCTTTTCTGATCAAGCATGCACATAATTATTACATTATGACCTGATGATTCGTGAACTATGACCTTCTGTCAGAGAGGGCAGTACAACATGGCGGCCATTGTTTTTTTTTTCTCCCAACATCTGTTATTACCGGAAATTGATATGCCTGCCACCACAGTTATAAATGCCTACCACCGCAGTGGTAAATGCCTACCACCACAATTCTTATAGATGCCCGCCTACAAGATTTCAGTGAAGTTGTCTATTCGTCTTTCTAAAGTATCTCCGTTCATTGTGACTGCACCAAGCGTTGTGCTATTAGCAAATCAGATAGACCACCCAAAATCTGCCAAGAGGATTCAAATTTACAAGCCTTTTCCTCTTCCTTCCTTCTGTTCCTCCTTCACTCTGTTTCTAACCCCTTTCCCCTCTCCCATATTCCTCTATTCCCTCCTTCGCCTCCTCCTTCCTTTTGCTCATATCTCCTTCTCCCCTAGCTCATTTTCCTCCACTTTCCCGTTTTTTTTCTGTTTCATCCTCCTCCTCCACTCTCATCTTCCTTCCGTTCATCCCCCCATCTTTCTAAACCCCTCCTCCTCCTTCCTTCTCTTCCATCCCCTCCGCTTCCTTCTGTTCCACGTCCTTCTCCCTCATCTCTTCTACCCTCTTTTTTAATTCTCTTCCTTCCTCATCTTCCCACACAACTCCTCCTTCCTTCTACTCCACCCCTCCTCCTCCTCCTCCTCCTCCTCCTCCTCCTCCTTTATTCTCGTCTACTCTTATCTCCCTTCTCTTCGTCTCCCTCCCCCAATTTTTCCTAAACTCTATTATCACCACTCACCCTTCATTCTATACCACCCTTCCTCTATCACTCTCCTCCTACCTCTCCTCCTCGCCTCCCTCTCCCACTCCTCCTCCTCCATCACTCCTCCTCCAACACTCCTCCTCCTCCTCCCTCACTCCACCCCCTCCTCCTCCGTCCACGCACTACTTCCCACAAGTGTTGAACACAGAGTTGCAGTAAGGAAACCTCTCGCAGCAGTCTCTGTTCGTTCTGCACGGATGTCCGTACCAGCAGTCGTAGCAGACGTGGGCCTGAGGGTTGCACTTGGAGTGTCGTCTGCAGCAATCCCCGTCACTTCTGCACTTTTTGCGAAGGCAGTTGGTGTTAGGAAGGCTCTCCCATGGCATGCGGTACCTGGGCAGGAGAAACAGAGAGAGAGAGAGAGAGACAGTGGGAGATGGGAACACGTAGTTTTATAAACTATACATAGATGAATAAATTAATTAGATGAACACGAATGGGAGTAATAATAATAATAATAATAATAAAGATAA